AATAATACCACTGTTGACAAAGTAAATTTGATAAAAAAAAATTAAAAAAAACCTGTGAAGAGTATATTAAACTAAATTAGACAAAATCTTAAATAATGTGCATCAGCTTGTGGTGTGAAATATGCCTAGGGCCGGATTATCCAATGGGCATTATGGGCACGGGCCCAAGTGAGGGGAAGAAAAAAAAATTTGGAGTGTCTTTACACTTAGTGCAAATAGCGTACTTGTTGGCAAACACTATTTATACTAGCGCTGCCCACCAATGTCTGGTACACTCAAAATTAATAAAAGACACATTTGGTTCAACGTATTCAGTGGAGCAGCAGTAGAGAGTAGGAATTGTCTTTTGACATGATCAACCCAGGTTCAAATCTGCCTTTTGCCAAGCTATAAATAATCATTTACACTCTGTTATTATTGCATCCTGTTAATGTACAAAAATACTGAAGTGCAAATTGTATCTGCCAATATAAAGTATAGATAGCATAATTGCTATTTATTTACACTTATTGAAAAGATAACTGCTGGTCCAGGAAAGCATTGTTGCAATCAAATGTAAATCCTGTATGATGGAGAATATCTAGAGGTGTTGAAATTGTCATTCAGCTTGTGATCATAGGCTGTAGCCTGCCAGTATAAATCCTGAATAAGCTAGAGGTGTTTCCAACAAATAGTACCCTAAAATTAATAACCTTGATCGTGCGTGTGTGTGCTAATGAGTTTACACTAAAAACCCATTTTAAAAATAGCACAGACAGTCTGACAGAACCAAGAATGAGTTCTGTTCATGTGATCCGTAATGCGCACAATTTGAACCAATCAATTGTGCTCTTGATTCCTCCCCCGCCCAAGGAAGCGTTTTTTTTTTCTTTTTTCAAGAAGTTTGCGCGGGGTTATCTCCACTATACAAAATTCGTTTGAAGGTGGTAAGTTACTGTTTTTTAACTAAAAGCTCTGTTTATTGTAAAGTTGTTGATAAAATAGTTTTAAAATTGTTATGTAACCTGGATATGTAAGTGTATCAAAAATGTAGAATCAGTTTTGTGTAAATTATTGTAGGGTTGAGCATACGGATCAAATACTAATTATGTATAAAGATGCTGCTCTCTCTCATGTCTCTTAGCTTTTCTCCATGTGAAAAATATAACACCATCATGTCAGAAAAACAAAACAAAACAGAATCACTGAGTTGGAAAAAGGATCACCCCTTGTGTCAGTATTTTGTTGAACCACCGTTTGCTTTAATTACAGCCTTTAGTCTGTTGGTATATGCGTCTCTACTGACTTTGCACATCTAGAATTTGCCCTCTTCTTTGCAGTCTTCAAGTCATTCCACAGATTTTCAATGGGGTTTAAGTCTGGGCTCTGACTAGGTCATGCAAGCATGGCCGTAACCAGGGTTTGAAAATTAGCGAGGTCTGGGGTGGGGTTAAGAATTGTGCTTTAATAACCCATACATATACAACTCATTAGAGAGACTGAAAATAATGTGGAAGAGGTCACCATAAGCAGTAGGTTTTAACATATGCATTTGGCCGAATGACATATCCAAAGCGATGTAAAACGAGCTGATCTACATATTTACATGCTGTAATGTGGGGTTTGGGTTTTGTTTTTGTGTCATGTTCTCATGTCTTTTATTTTGGAATTATTTCATGCTGTTAGTGTCATGCTTCCCTTGCCCTCTTGTCTTCATGCCATTGGTTCCTCTGTTCTTTGTGTCATGTTCTGATTGGTTGTCTTAGTCATGTGTCTTGTTTCCCATTGGTTTGTTCTTGTCATGTGACCCTCTTTGTCTGATATAAGTAGCCATCATGTTGCCATTGTCTCTTGTCGTGTATTGAAGTTGTAACCCGCTGTCGGTGAGTCTAGTCTGTTCATGTCAAGTCAAGTCTGTTCATGCCTCGTCAAGTCTGTTTATGTCAAGTCTGTGTATTTTGTTTGGATTATGTTTGGATTTTGGATTACGTTTGTGAATAAACTGCACATGGGTTCTCACTTCAACTCGCCTTCAGTGGACTGATTCGTTACAAAATGACAACAAATATAGGCTATTAGGCTACTGGTCGGGTCTGTCCTGCCACGGCCAATGAGGCCGTTCATGAACTCGCCATCAAGTGGTCTGTCCATGTCTTTGCTCCGCCATGGTTCCCTGATCTGCCTGCACCGCCATGGCTCCCTGATCTGCCTGCTCCGCCATGGCTCCCTGATCTGCCTGCACCGCATTGGTTCCCTGATCTACCTGCATCGCCATGGCTCCCTGATCTGCCTGCTCCGCCATGGCTCCCTGATCTGCCTGCACCGCATTGGTTCCCTGATCTACCTGCATCGCCATGGCTCCCTGATCTGCCTGCTCCGCCATGGCTCCCTGATCTGCCTGCACCGCATTGGTTCCCTGATCTACCTGCATCGCCATGGCTCCCTGATCTGCCTGCTCCGCCATGGCTCCCTGATCTGCCTGCACCGCATTGGTTCCCTGATCTACCTGCATCGCCATGGCTCCCTGATCTGCCTGCTCCGCCATGGCTGCCCGATCTGCCTGCTCCGCCATGGCTCCCCGATCTGCCTGCTCCTCTTCACGGGCCTGGCCCTCCGTCCCTCCCCCAGTACCGCCTCCTCTCCACCACCCTCCTGGACTTTTTGGATTTTGTTTGGGCGTCTGGAGCTGCCCTTAGAGGGGGGGATATGTAATGTGGGGTTTGGGTTTTGTTTTTGTGTCATGTTCTCATGTCTTTTATTTTGGAATTATTTCATGCTGTTAGTGTCATGCTTCCCTTGCCCTCTTGTCTTCATGCCATTGGTTCCTCTGTTCTTTGTGTCATGTTCTGATTGGTTGTCTTAGTCATGTGTCTTG